GGTTAATGCTGAAGTGGCACTTGGAGCACAGCGTAAGAATACCTAACCCAGCTGCCAGTGGAACCCTCCAGGAAGAAGTAATATTTAAGAGGTCGATTTGTGATATGACAGCATGTGTGAGCTCCACAGTTATCTTTATTAAAGATGGAAAAGTTACAAAACAAAATAATCAACCATTTAAAGCCCATGGAAATGGTCTTAAGGGCACATATCAATGGAGAAATACCCAGTAGCAGACGATGGGATCTTTTGACTAGAGAGAGTAGAAACAAGAGTGGGACAAATATTGCAAGTACACATTACTACACAGGCAAAGCTTTATCAGGGGGGCCTTCAGCAAAATTGGAGCTTTGGCTGAAAGAAGCAAGCACTTGTTTAGGAGACTGACCAAGCTGCTGTCCCAGAACAAAGACAGCTCCATATTTTTATTAATTTGCTGGAGTGGGCTAAAGTCCTATAATTTATGAAAGACATTTTGTCTTGTAATGGAGTTGGACCACTGTGTGGCCAAGGTCAACTTGTCCTTGAGATTGTTTAACTTTTATGCATCTGACACACTTTAGTTTCATAGATACAAACAGAATGAATGTTAAAGGGTGGAGAAATATTATGAAAAAAGCAATCACAGCAAAATTGGAGTGGCTATACTAACATCAGATAAAATAGAATATAAAACCAAAAAAGTGTTACTAATGATAAAGTGGGACTTTTTAACAATAAACGTTGTTTTTAGAATAGCTTTAGATTTGCAGCATATTTGAATAGAAATCATAAAAATCTCCCACATCCTCACTGATCCTACACACACATAGTACCCCCACAATAAACATCCTGAACCAAAGTAATACATTCATTATAGTTGATGAACCTGCACCGATAACATTATTTTCAAAGTCCACAGAGTTTACTTGGTGTCTTTATGAGGTCTGATAAAAAACATGGAGAATACTATTATCAATTGTTATCCAATGGAAATGCAGGCTAATAAAAATACTATCATGTGTCCTCATCCACAACATTCAAGATCTGGCACCATGCAACTTCTGGCTCCTCCCAAAGTAAAAATGACCACGAAAGGTAAATATTTTGAATAAATTTAGGACATCAAGAAATCACCACAACCCAACTTTAGTTGAAAATCTTTAGAATCTCAGAAGAGAGGACTTTCAGAAGTGCTTCAGAAAGTGGTAAGAATGATGGGAAAAATATGTTCAAAGCAAGGTAGAATTAATGGCAGTGAGTCTTTTGCCATAATAATTTTTTTAACACAGAGTTTTGCTAGCTAGTTCAGGCTTAGCCTCAAACTCACAGAGATCGTCCTCCTTCAGTCTCACCAGTTCTGGGATTACAAGCATGCACCATAATGCCTGGCAGTAATAATGTTTTTAAATGTAAACATCCATGGTAGTTTTAGATCATACCTTTCACAGAAATGAGACAAGGCTAGCTGTTTGTTGACTGTTAATTAAAATGTGTTATGTATAAGCGCCAACTCCCCACAAGAAATGTAATCATTATGTACTAATAATTTTTTTAAAAAATTGGGGTTCTCTCCTCTAATGGAGTTTTGAAGACAGAAGTCGTATTCTTTTCTTGAGCTGGGAAATGTACCTATTTACAATTGTAGATGCTTCTCTCAGTAAATGCCCCACAGATGGTTGAGACTTTTTAAGCCACGCCTAGTTTAAATTTTAGGTAAGGAAAATATGGAAACCAAGACAAGGAGTTTAAAGGGCACAAAGCTTTGAGGAATTTACAGCACCGTTGTTACCATTTATTATATAACAGCTCTTTCAGAGCAACGATCAAGAGTCAAGGCTTTGACCTTAGGCAACCATTCCATTTAGTAGCTGGATGATCTTGGCTAAGCCTTGTGTTCTTTTTTTAAGTAAAATAATAAGTTCATGAGATAACATCTGGAAAATGAGTCAGTTCATGAAGGGAAAGACTTGTATAAGTCCAAGAAGTAAATTGACATTTATAACTCAAGGATAATAGGATTACTCATTCCAAAATGAAAAAAAATATTACTCCTTAAATAATCAGAAGGTGGGGGTTCTGGTGAGATGCCAAAGTGTCAATTAAAAAAAGTATCCCTCCATTTAGCAAACTAAAGGAGCTTCATGTGGATACTTGTAGTGTATTGTACAGTTATCTATTGTTCTTCATCTTTCTTTTAACAATGCAAGGTGAACATGTAGTACACATAAATCTACCTCATTATTTTAAATAGCTACTTTATCACGCTACACTGAAAATAATGATGTGGCAGAAACTTTAAATAGACTTTTCTCAAACTAAAGATATATGCATGTTCAATAAGTGAAAAGGTGCTCCATTCCTAAGTTATTCCGCAAGTGATGCAACTGTTTCACTAAGGCTCTTGCAAATTGCTGATGTCTAAATATCTGTCATGTGGGTAAAGTTCCTGCTCTCTGACCTTTACCTACTTTGAATTTTCCTTGAAGCTAGAAGAAACCAACTTTTCTCTTAGCTTTCATTTTTTACAGAGACTAGTGAATGTATGGAATCTGGGCTGATTTTCAAACACACATCTTCCTGTCAGGTTCCTAGTGGAAACTTTTACATGAAATTGCTCCCAGGAATGAGAATACTGATGAAATCTATTGGCTTTGCATTTTTAAATTTTTTATTTTGTGATTTCAGGTAGCTATGTCTTAGTGTAGTTTTAAAGTTCCTCAAGGACTGTTTAATCTTGACTTTCTGTTAACATTAGGATTTATTATAAAGAGAAAACCATTAATGAGAGATGCAGTCTGCTTACTATGAAAACTGCAGTCCCCCAAACACTGGCTTTCTTTCCTCTAATGTAAAACATTGCATATTCAGGCATCCATCCTGGGGCCTATGTCACCGTATGGAACTCAGGCATCAAAAGGAGCCAATATAAAGCAACATGAAGCTATGGCTACTGCTTGAGCTGTAATATTGTTCTTCATACCTGATCTAGTAGTCTAGTGTGTTCTGCTGGTATCTATTAAATCGTACAAGCTAGCTTATAAGCTTACACATACGGTAAAGTCTCTGACTTTGAACTGTTTTTGACTTGTATGCAGATATTATCCTTAAGGCAGTTATGCTATTGTAGAGAAATATTTCCTAACAAGATGATTTTTGTCATATTTGTGACATGCTTTAAATATTGTATTCTACCTAGTGTTGTGCTTTAAACTGACTCACTTATATAATTGCAGTAAGTTTTAGAAAAGAAAATTCTACACCACCCTCAATCTTATCATTTTCTTTAAATTGAAAATACATGTTAATATACATTCAAATAATATCTGAAAATTATAATTTAGAATATTTGTGTGCCATCTATAATCCTCTACCCTGCCATCAGGCCCTGCTATTTTAACCCTACATTAACTGATTACGTCCAGAGCAGTCATGTCCTAGACAATGACTACAATAACGAATGTTTCTACTTAGTTATTTTAAGGTATTATCTTGTTACACACACACACACACAATCCCTTCAAGCTCCCTTTGAGAAGGAAAAACAGGGAAAAAGGAACTTTGGCACTTTGATCTACAATGGGGACAGAAGCCCTCCTGCAGGCAACTCTGTCCAGGACATCCTGGCCCTCAGTCCTGAAGACTCTGGAATCTGCTGCAATCTGGAGCAGAGAAACCAAAGGCAGGCCCATGTTAGAGACGAGTGTAGTTTGGGTGAGCCCCTCCACATCCTGGCCAAGTGCCCCACCTCTGAATACACAGTGAGCTCCTGGAACGTTTTCTCACTCCAGTTGGAATTCCAGACCCAATCAGCTCCTGATGTGCTGCTGTGCCCTTGAAAAATGGTCTGCAAACATGAAACACTCCCAAAATATCACAGAAGAAAATGACACACACTTTACATAGCACTTTTGTATATTTCTAGTCAGGGATGTGAGTACTCCAAAATCTGACTTAAATCTCCCTTTAAAATTTGTTGCAGTCTAGGGTACCTGTTGAACCAGTAAGGAGAGCCTAATACAACAAGTCTTCAGGGAAAAAATATCATTCAGCCAAAGAAATAGAAGCTAGGAAGACACAATGGCATCTTCAGATTCAGCGCAGCAATTTTGACTAAAGTATGTTTTGTTATTCAGACTTGTCTAGTCAAACTCCTAGATGGACCCAGGCTGAACTGTTTAAAGGGAAAAGGTTAAAATATGAAAATTGCCAAGGAGCACTGCATAAGTGTCTATCCAAATTGAAGAGGTAGGCATCTCCTCAATTATGCACAAGTCATTCTGGGGATTCAGAATGTGAAGGATCTGGTAAAAGGGGAAGGAATACCCAGAATACATGTTAGTATCATAGGAAGGTAGATAGGAGGCTGGGCAAGCACAGAAGGAGAGAATATAAAGGTGGCATTCACCTAACCGTTTCCTGGATTTGTTTTCAAGTACAGATGACAACTATTTTTTCCGTCACTCCAAAACACAGAAACAAATATCTAGGGAGTTTGGGCCTTTCATGAAAAGATGGGGACAAAACCCTGTCAAACTAGGGCTGGGGATTTAGCTCAGTAGTGCCACCACCTGCCTCACAAGCGCAAGGTCCTGAGTTCAATCCCAGGTACAAAAACAAACAAACCCCCAAAACAAAACAAAACAAAACAATCATTTGCTTGACATCCACGATACTTCTATGAGATTATGATGCTTAATCTACAGATAAGAAAAAGATGTAAATTCAGTCTAGCTAAATGGTTTGGTGGTACTTTGAATTTTACATTTGCTTGTAATATTAAGTAATAAGTGCTCCAGTACTTTCAGAAATAAGCTGCTAAGTACTGTTGGTTGCTTCTTTTTTAGCTGTAAAATGTTTATTATTTTAACAACAATAATGTGTGCTCATTTTAAGAATGTGGAAAATACAAACAAGCAGAAGAAAAATCATTTATAATCTCACCAACGAGACTGTACATTTTGTCTTTCATCCTTCACAATTTTCCATATGTATATATGTTGTATACAAATGTATCTTTACCTTTCAAAAATACGATATTCATATATGACCGACTTAGTAATCTTTTTTTCATTTTTTTATCATATCAGGAACATTTTTCTTTTACAAAAGAGTAAAGTTTTCATATTAAAAGGCAAAAGGGAGGGAGGAGAGAGGGTAAGAGGATGTAAAGAGAATTAATATGGGTTATGTTCATGTACCAGCTCCCCACAATGAATGTAATCATTATATACTGCAAACATGTGCTAATAAAATTTTTTTAAAAGATGACTTGTAGATTGGTTCAAAATACAATAAACAGTGAGATGAAGGTAACAAGAGATACATCTAAAACCACTAAAAATGACAGGCTAAAAGTAGAAAGATAAACACAGATATATTAATAGAATGCTAATAAAAGAAAAGTATACGGCAATGTTAATATCAAATAACACAGAAAGCAAACGAAACTACATTAAATAGGGATAAGGATGATTTCGATTAACCTTCCAACGCATCACTATAAGCTTGTTTCTTACTCTTCTTATCTCATCTATTTCATTCACTTCTCTAAACTTATCTTCATTGCTTAAATGCCTGTTGTGTATATCTTCTTTAAATTCCTGGAGAGATTGAATCAATCTTTTTTTAAAAGTTTCTTCTTTTTCTTCCTGGGGTTCTTCATCCTCTTCTGGCTTTTCCTCGGGCTTTGGTTCTTCCTCGACATTTTGCTCATTCCCATTTTCTGGTTTTTCTTCCATTTTTTGACAGGGTTTCATCTTTCGTCTGCTTCCTTTCTTTTTTCCTGCGTATTCCCCTTTGAGTGCAATTACTTCTAGGAAGCAAGGAGGCAGTAAATCAAAGGCTTGGCAAGTGTACAGGTGCTCTGCATAGAGTTCTAAGCATTTGCTTTTTGAGATTCAGAACGATCCTCACCAAATATTTTCCATCCCATGAGCCCAGCCCTCTGGGTTGCCTTGACCTGCCCGCCCCTCATATCCTCACTTTCTTTGCCTCCCCCTCGGTCTGGCCCCTTGTTCCAGCTTTTTCCAAGCTCCTCCTTCCAGACTCTCAGCCCTCCCCAAAACCCTTCTTTCTCACAGATCCTAACATAGATCTCCTAGAACAGAGTGGGTTGGCTGAGGAAGAAAGTGGCAAAGAGAAGGGGTAGTGAGGACCCTCACCCACGACTGTGCCAGGAGTCTTTACAATGTCTTTCTCACCTCCTGCAGATCCAGTCAGTTTCTACCTCCTAGATTTTTACCATTGGGCGGTGCTAAGAACAGATCTGCGGACGAACCGGAGAGGGAGGGGGTGGGGCGAAGGCTTGATAGGCCAACCAGCAGCAGAGACCAAGCACTGCAGCTTTAGCTTTTTTCATTTCAGGTCTCGGTAAAGAAAAGTTTCCCATCCCCCTCCCCAATTTTCTCCACAGTGCAAGTTAGCTCGTCTTTTCATCAAACGAGTGGGAAAGCTAATTATTTCCGAACTATTTTTACGGAGGCGAGGTTTGGGGACCCAGTGAATGCTGGAAAAGAGGTCTGAGATTATTTTAAAACTGTTAGGGTTTCCTTTTCCGCCTCTCGGGACCCCTAGTTCCTTTCCTGAGGGTCATTATTTCCTGTGGACCTAGAAGTAGAGGGTAGAAGGATGGACTCGACTGGGACTCCCTGAAATCTCCACCATAGACCACCTCCACACTAGAAATCCCCGGCAACATTCACACTGACACCAACCTGTAAAATTCTGATAAACTTCCTCCTTTCACTGGCCTCAGGCTCAGCCGCCCGAACAGCTGAAGGAAGCTGGTACCCACAAGGGAACAAGGACCAGACTAGCAGGACTTCTGCACACGTCGACTTGTGGTCACATGAGATCTACGTCACCAGTGAGGTCAGGTCCCCAATTTCCACTCCCACCAAGAGCGTGGCAGACGTGGGTCTGCCGGCTACTCCCTCCCCTCCCTCCCTCTCCTTCCTTATACATCTGCTTGTGTCAATCTCTTCTGTAGCTGCCAATCCCAGGAAAAATAATAACATCATTTCCTGTTCTCTGATAACTAGGGAAGGGATACATCTTTTTCTAGACCTATAATTTTTTTTTAACCTCTTTCAAGGCTTGTCTCTTCCTGTTTTTTCCCGGAATTATGAACTCCTCCATCCATCAATCCTCCTCTAGCCTCCATTTCCTTTGCAATCTTGTCTTTAGCTGTTGTGGAGCTGGGTGGGATGGACAGCAGTTGTAAAAATAAATTTTAAAAACTTAGATCAAGAGGGAGATTTTTAAATCCAATTTTAACTGTTCTTAATACTTCCATAGTT